CCCTGTTATCCAGGACTGCTGATAAATGATGGAGAGCGGCTTGGCAAGCTCCTGTGCCAGCTCCTTCAGCACTCCTGGGTGGATCCCATCCAGCCCCATAGACTTGTGGATGTCCAGGTGGCATAACAAGTCAAAGACTGCTTCCTCCTGGATTATAGGGGGTTTATTCCACTCATCGTCCCCATCTTCCAGCCCGGGAGGCTGAGTACCCTGGGGATAACTCATCGGGCCATTAAAGACCAAGGCAAAGAAGGCATTGAGTATCTCAGCCTTTTCCTCGTCTCTAGTGGCAGTGTTCCCCCTTGCATGCACTAGAGGATGGAGGTTCTCCCTGGCTCTCTTTTTGCTGTTAACGTATTTATAAAAACTTTTCTTATTATCCTTTACAATGGTGGCCAGGTTAAGTTCTAGCTGGGCTTTTGCCTTTCTAATTTCCTCTCTGCATGACCTGACAAGATCCCTGTACTCTTCTTGGGTTGCCTGCTCTCTCTTCCAGAGTGGTAAGTTCTTCCTTTTTTCGTGAGTCTCAGTAAAAGACCTCTGTTCAGCCAGGTCGGTCATCTTCCCCACCGATTCGTCTTATGGCACATGAGGACAGCCTGCTCCTGTGCCTTTAAGACTTCTTCCTTGAAGAATGCCCAACTTTCCTGGACCACTTTGCGCTTCAGGACTGCCTCCCAAGGGACTCTCCCAGCCAGTGTTCTAACAGGCCAAAGTCTGCCCTCCAGAAGTCCATGGTGGCAGTTTTGCTGACCCCCTTCCTTACCTCACCAAAAAGCGAAAATTCTACCATTTCATGATCACTAAGCCCAAGAAGACCTCCAACCACCACCTCTCCCACCAGTGAGAGAACCGGAAGGGTCAAGGTTAGTGAACAGGAGGTCAAGCAGGACACCTCACCTGGTAGACTCCCTTACCAGCTGTGCCAGGAAGTTATCTGTCTCCTTTCTGCTGTGTTGTATTTCCAGCAGATGTCTGGTAAGTTGAAGTCCCCCACAGGAACAAGAGCTCGCAACTGAGAGACTTCTGCCAGCCACTTGTAGAATACTTTGTCAACATCCTCATCCTTGTTGGGTGGTCTATAACAGACTCCCAACAGGATATCTTTCTTGCTGGCCTTCTACAGGAAGGACATGTCTTCCAGCCCTTTGATCAGCTTTGTTCCCCTCTTCTGGATGCATTCAAGGACCTTCACGCCTTTCTTAAATCACGGGGCCCAGAACAGCACACAATACTCAAGGTAAGGACGCACCATTGCTAAATGCAGTGGGATAATCTCCTCTTTTGACCAGCTGGTGATGCTGTGTTTGATGCCCCCCAGGGTGCAGGTTGCCCTCGTGGCTGCCAGGGTAAACTGCTGACTCACACTGAGCCTGCTGCTGACTAACACCCACAGGTCCCTTTCTGCAGGGCTGCTCTCCAGACACTCCTCTCCCAATTTATACTTGTGCTCAGCATTCCTCCATCCCAGGTACTGAATTTGGCATTTGTTCTTGTTATGCCTACCCCACTGGTGTCAATGTGGAATAGCTTAAAATCTACAGTAGTACATTATACTTGTAAAAGACATGGTTCAGAATATTCATTACTGACCATTTGCAATATATACAATTTTTTATGTGTAGGAATTTGCAGCAAAACCAGTGCCCTGTTGAGGAGTGAAAAGTCAACTTCCGAAGGTCTGCTCAATGGTCTGTACTTTCATTGCCACAAATGGTGCCCCTCATAGGGGAACGAAAATACAGCCTCCAAAGGTTTGTCTGGTGACAAGCCCCACAGAACTTAATGCTGCTGAAAGGAAACAGAAAGTGCTGCCGAAAGGAAGCAGAAGCCGGCTTCAATTGTCTCTGGAGATGAGGTGAGCTGTGGGGAACATGAGGCAGTTATATGTCTGCAAATGACCTGGACTTATGGAGGGACCTTTACAGAAGTATCTGTAATTTGAATGGATGCTTGCTTGTTCTTTCCAAATATCTCGAAGTCAGATAATGCCCTGACAGAACTCCCAAAAGGAGTTTTCTTCATTTGTGGGGCTTGAGCTGGTGGCATCTCCCTTCCCCTCCCTTCAGTCCCTCTCTGGTTGAACAATGTGTGACTGAGACAGTAACCAAAGGAAGCATCATGATTCCAGAAAAAGCTCAAGGGAAAGTCCTACAAGCAACAGTAGTAGCAGTTGGATCGGGAGCCAGAGGAAAGAACGGTGACATTCAGTCAGTGAATGTGAAAGCTGGTGAAAAAATTTTGCTACCAGAATATGGCAGTACTAAGATTGTACTAGAAGACAGTGACATTCTTGGGACGTACGTGGACTAAACTTGTTGCAGTATCAGTCATCCATTCCACTAAAATGCTGAAATTTTTCTTTCATCATGTAAATAATGCCCTTTATTTTATAATAAGCAGGCACTGAGTCTCTGAAATAACTTGTGACCTCAGCAGCAGCAGGCAGCTGGGTAGCGGTGCTGCCACCACCTCCTCTTCATTCCCACCTTCCCCCCCAGGGTACAATGCAGTTTATGTTGCTCTGTAGTCGCCAGGGGAAATCGAGACTCCAGAAGTATTATGTCCCATTATCTGACAAAGAAATGAAGAAAATCACAAGGGAACTTGTTCAAACAGTATTAGCCCGCAAACCGAAAATGTGCAGCTTTCTGGAATGGAGAGACCTGAAGATTGTTTACAAAAGATATGCAAGCCTCTATTTCTGCTGTGCTATTGAAGATCATGACAATGAACTAATAATTCTGGAAATAATTCATCGCTATGTAGAACTTCTTGACTGATATCATCTACAATTTTGAAAAAGCATATTTCATTCTGGATGAGTTTCTTTTAAGAGGGGAAGTTCAGGAGACTTCCAAGAAAAATGTTCTCAAAGCCATTGAACAGGCAGATCTTTTACAGGAGGAAGCAGACCCCACATAGTGTACTTGAAGAAATTGGATTGACATAGATCTTCAGCTGATGACATCTCAGTGTTTCATACTGTAAATGTTCACTGCCTTCATTGTAATGTTTAGCTAATGGTGTAAGATGCTGTTTGTCAGTATTACTGTTTTGCTAAGCTGTTTCGTTCAGGCCTGTAAGCAAAGGGAACAAGAAGCTAAAAATCAAAAAAAAAGCAAATGAAAGGGAATTATATTTAAATGGACTTGATGCCTCCCTTCACTGCATTTACAGGAAAACTGCGTTTGACTTCACTAAGTGTACTGTTTTTCATAAGCAAACCAAGAACTTCTGTCTTTGTTCTCAGTAAAGAGGGAACTGTTGTGGAAATAAGTCCAGAAAACAGTAGCACTTCAGAAACTCAAAATGTGTGTGTTTGACATCCACTGGTTCCAAAAAAAAAAATTGCTCTGGAAAAGGAATAAAGGTTAACCCTATACAACCGGTAATTTCCACTTCTCACAGAAGAAAATGTCCGTTGCCAGCAGATCACGTAGCATTCAAAAAATTAAAGTCAGAGAATGATGAAAATAGATCACCACAAAAAGGGAAAAGAAATAAAACTAAAGAAGAACTTGGCAAAGAAGATGATGTAAGGGAGGCTACTTGGACTGCTGGAGGGATGGACAGGAAGACAAGATCAAGCACAAGAACAAGTGCAAAACCAAGAAAATAGTCTTAACCAATTCAGTAATTGAAATTGCAGGTTTTTTAATGTGAATTGATTTGCACTCAGATTTTTTAAGTTCAGATTTTGTATAGAAAGCAATCACAGAATTATGATATTATCAAAATGTATTCTTTAACCGTTTACAGATACTTTGTAGAGACCTGTTTTGTCTACATATAGTGGTTCCTAAACCATGGGGTGTTTGTGTAAAAGAGCAAATGTAAAAAACAAATCGTTTTTGTATTTATCCCCTTTTTTTTGTTGATCAGTACAGTAGTTGGGAAGCCATATTACTTTAATGCCAGTTATAAGCTATTTTCTGCTTCTTTGTTCTTAGTAAAGAAGGGGCAGTTGTTGTGGGAGCAAGTACAGGATCTGCAGGTGTGACGGCTGAGCTGTAGGATATGCAGGTGTGGAGACTTTGTTTTGGGACCAATGAGAAAAGGGATAAATAGCAACAGGATCACTCTGATTGTGCCTGCACAGGGACATGGGGTCTGTGCCTTCTCTGCCACATGCCTGCAATGACGCATGACCCAGTGATTGTAACATCACAAAATGTTTATTTTGGATCACAGAGAGCTTATATCTTATTACATATGACACATTTACAAACCTCCTGAAATGATTGGAATTTTTATTTTGAACACCTTATTACTGTTCCTCTCCTTCTCCCAGAAACACCAAAGAAAGCTGCCAACAGAGGCAGCAGAACTACTATCAGTGGAGATAAAGTTAGCCTATAGATGTGACAATGCTGATTAGGTGTAGTTTAGAGATAATGAACTAAATTCTTCCCTGTTGCAAAAAGATAGGCCAATTAGAATTCCCTTCTTTTTGAACCAATTCTACAATTTAATGGGCACATGAAACTTCCATTAACAATAATGGGAGTTCTGTGCAGGCAGTGGGGGCAAAATAAAGCCCTGTAGAATTTTTCCCTTATAAACAGCATGAAGCAAATGGAGAATGATACTAATCTCAAAGCACTCATGCAACTTGCAGTATCCTGACTGAGAATAAAATCTGGGAGAGTGGTTCTGGGGCACAGGGTGTAAAATTAAGGAGTGAAAAACATACAAAGCTAAACAAGACAACCAACAAGGTCAGCTCAACTAACAGTAATGCAGGTGAATTGGTCCAGACCACTCTGAAACTGAGTATCTATAGAATACATAAATTAAATAGAGACATTAAAAATGTTTTAAGCCCAAATTAAAGAAATAAATGGAAATAACTTGCTTGTCAGTGGGCTGAAAATCAGTGATTTATAAAGCACCTGGGATTACACTGAAAGAGACGGTACATCTGCACAGTGTAGACATTAATAAAAAAAAAAAAACAATCACTTGTAGTATTATTTTTAGTGTTATTTTACAGTAGCCATGTTGTTAAGACGTTACCTTAGTTGACTGAAGTATTAACGAGCTTACAGATCTGAAGCTACTTCATTCAGCTGTATCATACCACATCCAGCCCCAGTAACTAGTAGTACTCTAACTTGTAGATCAAATGGATAAAAATCATGTTCCATACCATGTTCCATTTTTTGCATTTAATTCTCTATGCTTATGTTGCAGTAAATAACTAACTTGAGAAAAAGCTACACCCTTTGTGTGTGAGGGTGAAAGAGTCTCTGGGCCTACGCACCCTGCCATGATGGTACACTTGCAAATAAGGCTCATGGTACATGGACAAATCTAGTAAAAAACATTTAAGTAAAGAATCCAAGGGTCTGGATGAACATATATTATCTCAGCTCTTGCAAATAGAAGTAAATCAGGAGAATTGATATACTCAGACAAATTGTTCTTTGAGATGTTTATTTTATCATGGAAACTCAACACCTACAGGGATTCTGCAGACTTTCTCTGATCATGCCATTGGGAAGTCATGAATTAAAAATATAATTTAGCTGCATTATACTTTCATTTTTCTCAAATTAAACCAAAGAAGTCTGTAGTCAATCAGTGTATAAAATGTATAATATACTACATTCACATTTTATTTGCACAGTTTTTCTTGAATTACAGTTATCAGGAAAAAGATTATAACATAAATGTCAGTTCTTGGAGCCCCGAATGAAATGCTTAACTGTTATAGAGTGTGTTACAACTTTCATAATGTATTTCTATAACGATTTTCCATTCTGATGTATTTTCTCATGCTTTTCAAATTCAAAAGGGTTATGGCTACAATGTCAATACTAAATAATTTGTCCTTTATATGTCTCAGAAATGGTCTTGAAGAGGCCTTTTTTATTTTTCCCCATAGTTTTGGTTGGTTATGATCCTTTCCAACAGAATCGATTGCATTTGGTGTTGGTGATTACACAGTATGGTTATTATTACTGCAATATTTATTGTCTCTTCTGAAATACACAGAAAATATGGATTATAAAGACTATTCTTCTACACTTTGTTCTTTTAAAGACCATTCATATCCACTTTCTCTAAAAGTATGGTTAAAATCCTCTTTAAAAAAACCCAAAACCAATTTTTTTTCCTGAAATTCT